ATTGCTCATTGCTATTTTAAATACTATCATGACTTCCCATACATAAATAAAATTCACCACCACCTTGGTTTACCAAAGGTTGCTCTTGGCAACAATCAGGAAAAGTTAAAACGTTGCTGTTATTTCATGCAGTGATGCTGATTTACCATAGGTACTAATAAGGTGGTGTGATCAGAATCTGTTTGTGTTCCCATGAGGAAAAAATAAATACATGTTGCGAATTAAGTAGTATGTCCTGAATTGCTATGGTATTTGCCTAAGAAAAGTGAAATGCATTTTTAAAGGAATTAGTGCTTAAGTACTCTTAAATAATACTGAATAATTTTGTTTGTTTGTTTGTTTGTTTTTTAATATGTGTGATAACCCAATAAACACTTTCCATATTTGGTTAATTCATGCAAAGCTCTCCATGAACAGTAGCCTTTCCTTATTTCTATAACACAGGAAAAAATAGGAGTTTGAATGAACTTGGTTCTTGTATGGACTGATGAGGCAAATTTGGAAGCAGCAAAAAGTATCATAGTTTCAATCTGATCTCATGCACAAATTTCCTTTGATTGGAATTACTACTACCAGATAAAGGTACCTAACTCAACTGCTTTGTCAGGTTTATTGCAATTCAGACAACTTACAGGTCGATAATAATTACACCTAACAATGGAAAGCTTTTTGACCAAATTTTGTATTTGGGAAAGAAAAGCTCTCCTTTCAATAACCAGTTGAAGCAGTTATTGCTTTAAAACAGAAAAAAAGTACTGTGTCAAATAAGCACATAGTTATTTTAGTTTTGAAACCTTTTATTTCAGATAAAGCATGCTGCTATATACAGAAAAAAATGTGAGCCAAAGCAAGAGCAATACAGAATGGGCAACATATTCCTTAAAACTTACAAGATGCTTTTAAAAGCTTCAGTGCACCAGCAGTATGATATATTCTTCTCACTCCTAAACCACCTCTAGCAAAATGTTATTTCCCTGCAGATACTAAGCAACCCCAGCTATCTCTCACTTTCATATAATGATAAATTAAAGTTTCCAAYACCAAACTTAACAGCAATGGTTTCAGTAAATTACTTCTGCCAGTATAATATATTGAAATATAACTTCCATATTGCTAATATCTTATTTCAAACAGCATCATTCAACTATGCAAACTAAGAATGTTATACATTTAGCAAAGTCTAGGCCAATTACTTTTCCTTTTCMACTTTCTTTCTCCTACTTCATTATCTTAACATCAGTAAAACTCAGTGAAAGTCTCATTTTTGTTGCTCCTAAAGAAATACTCTCAATAATTTCCCWCTCATTTTCTTCTAGAACTGAAGTCAAGAGACTGCAATAGTGTTGTTTTGCTGAAGTTTGAGACAGTAAAGGAAAAAAAGCTAAACTACTTTATCATGAAGAACTTGACCTGGGTTGTAGCATCATTTCACTTTTGGTGCCAGTGAATGGCTAACAGGCTAACAGCAGAACGCTACTGCCTAGCAGTACATGTTTGCATGTGTGACACACTCAGGACAGCGAGTTAATGTGTTACTGTAACTCTGTCTCGGCTGTTTGCCCTCTGCCTGGGGCCTTTTAGCTTTTAACATTAAGGAGCTGCGCGGACAGGCCGTGATGCCAGTTGCGCAATTTGGCAAAGCGTGGGCTGTTACGTTCCGTTTCAAACCTCTCCCTGTGGCATGAAGAAAGAGAGAGAGAGAGACAGAGAGAGACACACATACACAAAAGAAAGAAAGGAGGGAGAAAGAAAGGGGTTAGGGACCATGGCTACCACTCCCCTGCCTTACAAATAGGGCAATGGCAATTTATTTGGATTTTTTTTCCTCAGCTTTCAAATCAGGCTGGGTGATGCTTTTTGGACCGTGTGTGAAAGATTTTGCAGTTGTTTATTTCTGAGAAGTAACTTGATATAACTTCTTTGACTTGTGCTTGGTATTACAGGGCTGCTTTTGCTAGAAATGCAGTGTAATCCCATTGTTTTCCTCCCAGCAGTTTCTCTTGGCTTTTCCCACCCTCTCACACAACTGAGCAGTCAGTAAAAGTTAACTCACACAAGTGCAAAATGAATGCAAATATTTTCCATTCTCTAGCACCTAGGTCAGCCCATATATAACCTGCTGTCCTTCCAGCAAGGACCATCAACCCCAGGTTTCAGCAGTACTTTTCTACAGCTTCCTCAGAATTAGTGAATGTTAGTGTTAGATATTTCTGGTCATTTGTGTCACAAAGCAGAACAAGAGGGGATTTTCAAAGCAGAGCCCTGCGAAGTATTGGCCACCTCCTGCCCACCCTGACTGCAGACTGGGGAGCTTGAGCCATGTTCAGCATTTCTCAGGATTTAATCTTTCCTAGACATTCTATAGTTTAAATTCAGCTTTTGTATATAAAAAGGGGAAGAAGAAGGATGTGAGATGAGAGCACAGTCAAGGAGGAGTATATTAAACAGAATGAAAAATAAAATGTTCTCATTATTTGCAAAACTTCTTTGAGTCATTGCAAACAAGGTCATTTTTTCCTCATTATTTACACTGAAAACACAAGACAATTAATTGTGTTAATGCAGTGGAACTTGGGAGGTGAAACCAGCCAAACAGATAGGAGCAGACTGAGCTGGTTTTATTTCTCAGGATGCGGACAGCACAAAACAATAAACAGACTAAATGCCAACAAATTCACTGATATTTCTAATTTTTTTGTTCTTAATAACACAGCGTCATGCAAGTAGCACTCCTAAAGGAGGAATCTTGTATGATTTCTCAGACTATTTTTTATACTTTTAGGTAATTAAGAGATAAAAAGTAATTCTAGCTAAAATTTCATGATGGCATTTTTTTTCTCAGCTACACCAGAATGTACTAGCTACAATGGGTCTGACATGTAATTTAAGAACTCTCTTACTGTTTTCAAGATATTAGCCCTCCTCAAGGAAATGGTATTCAGAAACATCTTTGGCTTGAAATGAATCCCATCTCTCCAGAAAATATTCAATAACAATCACCACACCAGCAAAGAAAAGTTCTCATGATGTTATACCTTATGTGTGCCTTCAAAATTGCAGAAGCATAAGCAAAGGACAGTCATGCAACCCACTCATTAATGTTAATCAAAAGAAATATTCTGCCACCCGAAAATTGCGTAGTTTATGGGTTTTGTTTAGAACATATGTCATGAAGTTGGAAGGAGCAATCCAAAAGCAACTATTTTTATGTAAAACAGTTCTGCCAAAAATAAGCTACATCTTTCCTCCCCCCACTCAGGAGWGTTTGGAAGATACTTGATCACCAATCTGTGCAACTCCTGCTGGCTACACTGAGGAGACAAGAGAAAGCACCAGAGAGAGATCGCTCCCAGCCTGCCTGAGGCCACAGCCATGGATGGAGGGTGTGCAATGTTTGAGGTGGGTATCAAAGTCAGTGKGGTAGGAAGGAGATCCCATTTCATTCCTAGCACCAAAACTCACAGCAGTTGCACTGCACCTGTGTAACTATTTATACATGCTCCCTTATGCCTCTGCCATCAATGCATACCTTAAACCTGCTCAGCTGTGCCTAAACRTAACCACAACTGTCCTTGGGGAAAAAAGCCTGGTAACACAGTGATACCTAAAAGCTGCATGGTGTATACACTCATGTACTTGGAGTTACACTAGACAGAATGTGCAATTTATATATGTYGATGTGCTAACAGATAATTATTGTCAACATATCGAAATCCATGTAAAGTTTCCAATATCTAGTATTTCCCAAAGCCACAGCCTGCACCTAGAAAGAATATTATTCTAAAACAAAATATTACTCTCAGATTTGAATGGGGCATAGTTAAGTTCAGCACAATGCTTTAAATCCCATCATAATAAGGATTTGGACATGTGCTATTACATCAAAACAGATAATGCACAATACATGTAATGAGAATTAGGCTTGCACATTTGAGGGAAGAAATAAAGCCCTGAGGGCTATAGTATCAAGTCTGATGTTCGGGCAGCCAGCCATGAACTTGGGTGAACTGCAGCGGAAGGTTTATAGCAAACACCAACTGAAAGCATTCTTGTATTCTCACAGGGAAGATAGCAGATACCTTTCTCACTGATTCAACATTTGCAACCTACACTGTGATCAAAAGTTCAGAACCTTTAAAGAGGCCACATGACAATTAAAAATAAAATAGAAAAAGAAAAAGAAGAGGAGGTGGATTGAGTACCAAACACATCAGAAACTCAGCTGGCAGCTTAGAGCAGCTAATGTGAAACAGGGATTTGAAGTATGCAAAGAGAAAGTAAGGCTTGCATGCAGGATGCTCCTGATTCAACTGCAGTTTTTAAGCTCAACATAAGAATCTTTAATACATCTATTTCCTGGCTATGCAGGATGAYRATAAATCTTTAATTCCATATTATACCTCCAAACATATCCACCTTTTCAATGTTTTTGATGCATCATATGAAACAAATACATTTATCCATTAGCAAAAGCAGTCCTGTGCTTCCATATTCTACAAATTTAGGTCATATTTATTCCAAACAAAACATAAGCTAATGATTATGGGTATGCATGGAAATAAYTCCTTTACTGTATCATTTAAGAAGAATCAAAAGTCAATCAGAGGGTCATCCAAATAAATTGCTCACRAATTTCAGTGCTATCACAACATTATATTTTTTAATCCACTTGCACAATCAAGTAGTTACACAGGGCTTGGAACTCATTGCATTCACACACCCAGCAAAGTACAGGAAAGTTGCATGAAYAGAGAGTGTTCAGATTTGAACATAMAATTCAGGAATTTTGCAYCATTTTTCCTAAAAACATGYTAATTTGTTATCCTTCTYATTCAAATGCCTCTCAATGATAGCGTTTTAATTTTAGTGATTTTTAAGTAAATGTATTAGAATATTTTAGGACAAAAATATGATAAAAGAAGTTCATATTAATGCCATTTTAAAACATTATTGGGTTATTAGGAAGAAGAAAGCTGTATTTTTCACAGGGGGTTGCCTACCTTGACCTCCTCAGGGCTTCTTCATCTGGATCTTGCACTGTAGAAAAAAATGTTTCAGTTCAAAAACAGAAAGGAAGGAATTGGCTTTATGACAYTATAAATTCGTTAGAAACTTATCAAAAGCTAAAGGTGCATTCACACTGACTTTGCAGCAGTGGAATTTGTAAGAACATTATGAAGAGGAGTGATTCCCTAGGGACAGGAAGGAGGACATTTGGAGCAAATAGCTATTACAACTCCTTTCCCATTCATTATTAGCAAAGTTTCACAGCTGCAGGCAATGATTCTACAGAGAGCTCCTGCTTTTTTGTATGAAAGCAGGAGAGGCAGCAGCAGCAGAGTAATGGAAGAAGAAAATACTAAATACTTTTCCCTGATACRGGAAAAGGCCCTGACCTTCCTTCTCTCTAGATCAGAAACCAACTGTGAGCTTAGTACCAGGTGGTAAAACATAAAAACATCCATAAAAACATCTCCATAGGCAACAAGCAACAAAGTTAAAGCTCTGTGGCATTCATATCAGCTCTAGTTTTAGATAACAGGGCTGATAGAACCATAGATTCTGTACAAATGGTGATCCATGTTTGTTTTTTTTTTTAACCTCCAGAAGTCACTTCTATAAAAGACTRTTACAGGAGGCATGACTTGTTTATCATTTTTGTCTAAAGAATGGGCAGCTCTATATGTCTAGGCTGCAGGAAACCCAAAGCTTGCCCTGCAGAGACTTATTTGCAAGTAGGAATAACTATGGGGTCCCAAATGCTTGTTTACTGTGCAGTCTATTATACTTGGATCGTGAGACCCTTGGCAGATCACAGAATTTTCTTCATAGAGAAAGTGTAAGGTGAGATTGCTCACTTTGATTGCTGAGTTCCCTCAAGTTACACGCAGGATCTTCACCCTCACTGACAACTACATGAGCCTGGATGTGAGTCTTCCCTTACTATGAGGGGCCAATACCAGGGCAATAAAGAAAGGCATGAATCTAAAATCAAGGTTGGGGGAATGTTTTGTCATTCAACTTACTGTACTCAGTTCCAGTCATCTGGGCAAGGATGCGGAAGGACTTGGACTGCAGGTTGGCAGAGCGGCGGCTCCAGTCCTCGCTCTCATCCTCAGGCTTGCTCTGAGTTTTAAGCACAGCCTGATACACAGGAGAGGCACTGTCTACGTGAGGATCCTTAATAGGGAGGGTACTGCAATTCAGAAAGRGAAATGTTGGAAGCAGCTCTCTGGTCTCAGTTTCTCACCCGGCCATCCCCAACATGGCTTTGAAATGATCCCTTTTTAAAAAGATACATGGATCAATTTTATATTATGGCTCATTCTATCCCTGAAAGGGCCTGTTATCATTCAAATCTGCTTGGAAATACCTGTTTGTGATTCCTCTGCCAATGCAGGCACACAAGCTGGTTAGAATGACGTGTGGTGATAATAACTCGATGTTGATACTATTTTATGTTATATCTTTAAATTATTGTGTTGGGCCAGTGTACCTTAAGGTTGCAATTAGAAATAAAAACCATATTTCACTATAAAAATAGCTTTTTCTGGGGATGACTCTTTTTCAAACAGAGTTAAACTTCCATCTGCTATAAGTCTGGTTTCATTGTCTACTAAACATGTGAAGCACAAGAAGTCTAGACTTGTACTCAAAACTTGCATATGTAAGTAGTATCTGAAATCTTTAATGACAGAGTATATCTGAAGGTCTTACAACATATTTAATCACCTAGGAAAGGGATATATTCAGTTGAGCACACCTAAAATCAAAGCTACAAAGGTCTGTAGCACAAGTGAGGTAATCTCTCTTTGATTTATGATGCAGGCTAGAAACAGACTTAGTAACTTAATAGCTTTTTTTCCCCCCCCCCCTTTTTTTTTTTTTTTTTCCCCAGTGAAAATAACTTCTGCATAGCAGAATTAACATTCACAGAGCTGCAGAAATATACACTGAGGGGATGACGTGTGCTTGGAGCAACTGGGGTCCATGGCTGCTCTAAATACAAAGTCTATTTCTGAAACAAGTGATTTATTGTGACAGCTTTATGCTATTCCATATAGAGCTTTGCAGGCAGCGAGATCAACTTCATGAAAACTGAGAAACAGTTCTGTTAAAAGTTAAGGGCCATTTGGTTGAACAGTTCCTTCCTTGGTTCAGGCTCAAAGTTAGTGCTCTCCAGGATACCACTGTGCAGAGAAAATCTRCAGAGAGGTTGGGTCTGTGATTTGAAATCCTGAGAAGAATCATGAAAAAGCYAGGAAGTACATCTGACATCTTACACAGAGTGGTGAAAAATGTTGCCAGGTAGTGCTTTAAAGATCAGCATTTCCCAGCTGAAACACACCTTCAGCACTGTGCAATATACACTGGTTTGATGAATCTGTACATCAGAGCACATATTTATGTTCTTCATAAGTCCAATACACGCAAATTTCTCATTTTCTTGAGGGCCCACCAAAGTACAAACCACAGTTAATTTTCTWTGTGTGTTTCAGTGCAATCAGTTGCGGGATGGAGCACAGCTTACAAAGGTGGATGTAGAGAAAAACTTGACTCTTCAGTTCAAGCTCTGCCAYAAAACATCAAATTTATGTAAAAAAATCTCCCTGTGTGAAAGATGGCCTGTAGGAGGAAGAAGCAATTTCCAGCTCCTTTTTAAGCTCATGTTTCCTAGACCACAATCCTTAACAATATCCAAACACTAGCAGGTACAGAAGGCGTAATGCAGACATTTATTTTGGGGAAGGTGTGACATCAGTGGCTTCCATTAATGTTGCTCCTGTGTGCACCAGTGGACAAAGTGGTGCCAYAGCCTTCTTTAGATGGAAGATGGGACAGAGAGCAGTAGTCCTTCCCTTCTGGCCCCTCACATGGCTGAATGGCYTGCTGAGGCAAGAAAGCGAACTAGTGAGTTCTGCCCTCTGCTGCCTCCATGCAGAAATAATCTTCTCATGGAAAAGAGATTCTCCGTAATACCAACAGCAAGTCAGCAACACCCTCCAGACTGTTCTGCTGCTGCTTCTGACACCTGGCCATGCTGAACGTTTTGTCACTGTAAAGGGTCTTGTTAATGTCCCCCAAAAGGGGACCGTTTTCATGTCCCCAGAGGCACTTGAGGGTGCTTCAGGCCCAGAACCTGGCCCTGCATTACTGCCAGAAGTGACTGCCTGATTTGGGCCAACAGGTAACTTTATACTCCCACACTGACTTTTTAATCTTGTGGAAGCTTAAAAACCTGCTGAATGKGACAGCAAATTTCCCAGCTTAAGCTGGATAATAAACCACTGCATAGACAGTGCTGCTGATTTTAACCACAAACTACAGTGTGCAAGCCACCAACAGTTCAAATTCCTCTGCTTAAATCCTCTAGCTGAAATGTTTTCTTCTTATATTATGACCAATGCACAAGGTTATGTATAGATATGCCATTAACTCAAGTATTGTTAAAAACCCAGAGCTGGAGGCTGGACCACAAATTTCACAGTAGAGATGTGCAGCATTAATATGATATATTAATATCCTTATGGTAGATGATTAAGGCAGGAAATGGAGCTTGGTGAATTAACCTCCCCAGCAGAGTAAAACATGCTCATATAAATGGAACTAAATTAATGCAATAYATTGGAGTATTTCCAACTTTGTCTTTAATTCAACAGGCCTTTTTCTTTTTATAAAATCATAATTATATTGTGGATGAGTAACTAGGACATATGAGCCACTCAGCATGGAAGTGTAAAATAGAGTGCATTGCTGATTATGAGCATTTTGTAAGCCTAAATGTGACAGTTGATTCTTACAGACAGCCTAAAGATGTACATAACCATGTTAATACCTCTGTTATACCTCTTTGTAATTTAATTTCTTTCCATCTGGGTGTGGATGTGCAGAAATATCATGCATCTTTAAGCATATTACTTTAAATGGATGCTACTGAAAAAAAATTCTTCCCAGGTGGATTAGAGCTGTTGGGGGTTTTCATACTGGAGCCYAAGGTATTTTGGTAAGAGTCAATAAAAATTATTTTCCTTTTCACATCATCATCTAAGTCACGCATTTTAACATTAAAACAAGCTTTAAAGACAAACCTGTCTTGAATAAGTGGCAATGGAATTTTATTTTTCCGGAGTTCATTGTAAACTATGGTTTACTATGTGAATCATTCTCGGGAGTCATTATTTAGATTTAATTTAAGTAGATATTAAGTAAAAACTTAAGAACTCTGTAGCATTCTACCCCTGTAGACATACAAGATATTATGACATCAGATATTAGGCTAATCCCAGCTATTTAAAAAAAGTTCTGAGAGGTGAAAACCCCACAAACCAACAAACGAAAGTTCATGCAGACTGGCAAATAATCAGCCAAGTTGACTTATTGTAGAGGACACACAAGACTGTAGTTGGTACAATCACATTATTGATTCTGCTACGTTAACTGTCAGATCTTATTCCTGATAAAGGTGCTGGATTTATGTCYTTATACAACTTGGGAATTTGGCTAAAACTGCATAATGGAGTTTAGAAGTGCTTTGACAGGAATGTACTCATAATGGACTGTCCATATGGTTTTACTGCAGTCAACTAACTCTTAGTTCTTGGTTTAGTAAGATCAATTAAAACAAAACAAAACAAAACAAAACAAAAAACAGAGTAGGAAAAGATCTAAAGCCAGGTCACTAAAAATTTTCCACCTCAAAGTTTCAGCATGGAGTCTGAGTAATTGCAGTATGAATAATTCTGTTCTTCCCTTTCTGTTTTCCATGGTGATCCCAAAAGCGTGGCTTATTTTCTAAGTGACAAGAGCCTGACTCTGATCTCATGAAGTTACAGTACTGATTTCAAATGGTCAGACTAGAAAACRAATTCTTAAGYCTGTCTGWCCTTCATCATTGACAAAATAAGTAAACAGTGTTTCCAACTACCATCTGCCCTTTAGACGTGCAGTCTGAGTGTGCTTACCATTATATAGATTTGTGGACAAATGAAAAGCACAGAGATTATTATTTAAGAACTGAGACMAAACTATAGGCTGATAATTGAGACAAAATGAATCAGCACTGCATTAATCAGAATTTAGTCTGCTTTTATATTAAAAACTTCTTATACAAGTATTTCTGCATTAAGCATAATTTTAKCTCAGATTTGATTGATTAAGCAAGCTAAAGAACATCTTGGTTTCCACTACAAATTAAAGTTCAGAATATCACAGAGGAAATTAAAGGAAATTTATAAGATGAAAAGGACCCATGTATTCAGCACTAACTTTTAAATCACTTGATCATTTAAATAGGTAAACCTCTTAAACATTACTATTTACATCATATAATACCACAGCATTTAGTAGAAAGCTCCAATGTATCATAAAATGTCTTATATAATCCATGCCTATGAAGGTTGTAAACCTTTTTAAAGAACTTAAAGGAACTTTCTTTGTACTTGACTGATTGGAAATATGAGTCCACTCAACACCTGTGGAGACACACCAAGTCATGGCCAAAAACAACTAAAGATACTGCTTGTGATCCACCATGAAGGAGAGCTGGGATGAACAACAATATTGGTGCAAAAAGTCAGTGGAAAAGAAAAATTGTTATAAAAAAAAAAGAGAGGGAAATGGACAGTAAAAGAAAGCACAAGCAAATACTTAAACTATCCTCATTTTTAATAAGCCTGAGGCTAACATCTGGAAAAGAAACTRYGTTAAAGTTTCTATGTTGCTTTACCTGTGTTTTGGTGTTATATGAAARGAAGACAAGCTCTATTTTGGGTAGAAAGACACCCAGTAGGAGAGAAACCTGGCTACATTCATTGCACAAATAACTTCAGTTAAGTTATTACAACTTTGGATGTTAATTAGGTAAGATTTCTAGAAACGTGCATTGGAAAAGCAGAGTTACTAAAGGTCAATGGATTTTGCCATAGTCTAAAGGATATGCATAAAACACATTTATGTAAACTAAGAACAGGGAAAATACTCCGAAAAATAAACCAGTAGCCAGTGCCAAATAAAAATTTTGCATTCTTCACATCTCAATAAAAATTCCACCRTCCTCTTCTGTCCTTTCTGAGCTATGCATAAAATAATGCTATTATAAATCATGGTCATCAGAAATGAAAAGCCATCCAATGGCAGAACACTATTATATATACATTATAATAAAATATATACAGAATATATAGAACATTAGATGGATTTTTGCAGGGTTTACCAGCTCYAGGAGGAATACCAAAAAAGCGAGGTTAGATTAAAATATCCCTGACCATGGCAGGGGGGTTGGAACTAGATGATCTTTAAGGTCCCTTCCAACAATGAACAATGCTATGATTTTCTAGCTACCTGCCCTTTTAACTTCAAAACATGGACATTCTTTTGAACGCCGTCTAGGATTGATATATATTTTTATGTGTAATATATGCCAGGAAAAAGAGCCCTGGAAGGACAAATGTGGCATGCAGGTAGGAATGTTACGAGTATCATGCAGAGAAAGAGCATTCCACAGAAGGAAATAACCTTACCCAGCGAATTCTCCACCCTGGGCTTGTGCCTGGCCTGCAATTGCATCCATGATAGCATCCTGGGAATACATGCTGATCGGGGTGTTATACTGGGCATGAATTATGGTAGCCTTGCCGCCAAGGCCCTTCACCTCAATGGGTTTGTGTGTAGACAGRGCAGAGTCCTTCAGGACATTGGGGTTGAAACGCTCCGTGAAGTCCGTGCTGGGTTATGCAAGAGTGAGGTTCCACAGGGAAAGGAGGGCAAGAAAGGAGAGAGGCGTGAGAGTTAAGTGAGGGAAGCACCACCAAGACAGGGATGTGAATGTCTGTTCATGGCATCTCACCACCAAAGCTTCTTATCAGAGAAGAGCAGACAACGTAAGTACCAACGCACAACTAAAAGATGGCTGTGCTGATGGATGGCTTACAATAYGTAAAAAGGAAAAAAAGGTGAAATAGCTGTCATTGTATTAAAACATCATACCTAAGTACAAAATGAAAAATACCTAAGTATTTATGTGATACTTCTGTATATTAAAAGTTCTTTGTACATGCATATATACATCTAAGGGTATACAAACATGCACATGTATATATGCATGCCCATGGGATTTACATACACACTGCAAAGAATTCCCACTCTTTTCCTTCATCCATTCATGTTTTCAGAAGRGTCTTATAAAGGTCTAGAAAGTGCAGTGGAGTGAACAGATATCAGGTTGTCTATTTTATTACCTTCTGTCAGGATTATTAATCACAGTGAAATTTAGTACTTGTGCCTTTTAATCTTCACGGCTTTCCTCCCAAAATCTCTGTACAGCCACACTGAAGTGCTRCTACAGCATGATGAATGCTCAGTCCCAGATCAAAATATCCTATATTGCAACCAACAGGACAACTGCAGCTGGAAGAGTTGCTGCCTTAGTTTCCAGTGACTCCATTTCTGAGGAAGGATTTTATATTTGATAGAGTCCCAAACACATGTTACCTGAAGCTGCCATTACACCAGAATGAGCCAGTTTGATGTCAGACTGCAGCCAAAGAGCAGCTGGTTTTCTTGTAGGGCTGAGCTGTACACAGTTCTAGTCCTAGAGCTAGCACTGAGCACTGCCCAGWGCTCCAAGGAACAAGCTGAACCTCAACTGTCAGCCACTGAAGTCGCTGGTCTTCTTCAGCCTCTGGCAGATCAGGTGAATCTCTAGCAGCAGGCAGATGCCAGCAGGAGAGATTCCATACACTCACCAAACTGGAAAAAACTGGGAATTCTGTCCTTTGAGAAATAATGGTTATTTTATAAATGTTTCATTTAGAACTGAACCCAAAAGTTGGAAATGTTTGTATCCCCCTGCAGAAGAAATTTAATCCTGTTTGACTGGAACAATTTTCCTTTTCAGTTTAAGATATTAGACGGTAAGTTTACTGGCTAATACTAAGTTTTTTCTCTTTTCACACACAGCAGTGTGCCTGTTTACCATGGGCAGCCCCAGAGGGTGAGAGTTAAAACTGAACTCTCAACCCAGCATGAAGGAAAAGGAAAAATCAGGCAAGGCTGGCAGCCATCTAACTTAATTATCTGCAGATTCTCACAGGTGCTGTGCCACCTCTGAAGCCAGCCAGAGGTGGGCTCTGCTATATTTTCAGCCTTTTGYTTGGTGGGATGCCCTGACCGATGGGCAGAGAGAGATACAGTCACATATCATTCCAAATCCTTGATAGAACATCGAGCCACATGCTCAAGGAACAGACACACAGGTGCACATGCTGCGTTACAGCCACAGCCTTCAGTTGCRATGTCAACATTTTAAGGGAGGGAAYTGGGAAGCTGCATTATGCATTCAAAAAGCAAAAACTATCTTTTTAACGAGATATTCTCCCATTTAAAATACATCTTYGTTAATTATTCATCAATCCTGTAATTACACTGACATCATCTGTGGAGGGGTAATGTGCAGGGACGTGCAGGATGCTGTACTGAGCATGCACATGCCTGACTTCAAGAACACTATCTCTTTTCTTTGTAATACCCTAAACAATCCCATGCTAATTACAAACACATCAGTCCTCAAGATATTTAATTTAGTTTTGTTTTCTTTCACACTATTGGAAGTATTGCAGAGATRCTAAACCCAAGATCTGAGAAAATTGTGTGAAGGAAAGGACAAAGGTTAAATATGCCACCTTTAAAGAATAACATTCTAAGCAATTGGTTTCCACAGTCAGTTACAGAAATCAAAGCTACTAATGTCAGAACATCGTAAACTTCCCTCATGGTAGCAGCAGGAGTCATTTGGGCTTTCACTTGTGGTATTTAAACAGTTTCAGTGATGTCTTTCAAGAGGTTTTAGTCACATTAYACATACCAAGGCAAAATGTCCACTGAAGTTAGCAGGATTCCCATAAAGCTAACAGRCAAAAAGTAAAGATTTTGAACTGCMAACTCTGGAAAATATTAGTGCTTKTTAGGGGTGCTCGGCTCTGGGACCAAGTGGCAGAGTTTGCAAAATGACTGGAATCTTTCTCCTAAACCAGAAAAGGATCAGGAAAAATAAATCCCAAAGCAAGKAAGATTACAAACACCCGAATAATGTGACTTCTGCTTTCTAAGACAATCCTATCAGAATAATTATCAATGTAAATTGGTGAGGGATTTTCACTCCAAAGGATTTACATCATCACACCAACACCTCATTGAAATCAACAGAGAATGCCAGATCAGTGTAAATTATATGCATTAAATACTATTTCAACTTTATGTATTCTACTACTTCAAACTTTGTATTGGCAGTTTGAATTTGACATTTACAATTAGAATTTTTTTATTCTATACTCAGTTTAATGCAATCTCCAGCAATGTATGCACATTCAGTTCAGAGGCAAAAACTGAGAGTTTAGAGAAAATCCTCTGCCCTTCAAAAACAAAAGATTAAAACTGAGGACTCTGTGAACTCTCCTAAATAACACAGATCAACCACATTTTCAAATCAATAGTTATTTCTTTTTTGGGCAATAGATTTATCACTGGAAATCACTTTGTAGATTTTTTTTCTGATACCAGTATCTCATTCAAACCTAAATTTGAATTTTAGCAGACTTTGGAAATTAATTTAATGTTGAAACTAGAAATGTTTTACTAATAATACACCAAAAAAGGCTCCGATAATGCTCAAACTGTGAAGGCATGAAGATGACTTAAACATTTAAGAGGACTTAAACCTGCCTGTAGAAGCAAAACCTGAGAGCTTTCAGAAGAGCTGAGCAAGCTGAGGTGACAGCTCCATTGGCAGCACTGGAGCATCACCAAGAAACGCCAAGTGGGAGCACTGCCAGCCAGCAGGGGCAGCACAGGCCCCCCGCCACGCCAAGCACGTTTCAAAAAATACTTGCACTGGCAAGCAGACACAGCAGGAGCACAGGGGATCATGCTACCCCAGAAAACACATCTTCACACATACAGCATCACACAAACATCTGGCACTACACAGAAGTGATACTAACTTGGCAGCRGTGTTGGTTATCACCTAGAAGAAGAGAAAGAGAACAAACAACATCAAAAACAACCACACAGAAAAAGTCAATAGTTTGTAGACTGCAAAGGGCAAGAGGTATTTACCAAAGATTACCACAGCTCTCCTCAGACCATCTACAAATAAGAACAAAAAGTAAATGTATGCCTGAAAACCCCAACATGATTAAGATGGGAAAAAATGCAGGGATTACAGTTGATCCACTAGGACTTAGTGGGGTACCATGGCATTTTGGCTGACCCTTGAACATGATTTTATTGCTGCGCATCCTTAAAAATACTACTACCAAATGGAGGGGATGAGAGAGCAGAGGAAAGAAAGAAGTATTTGCAGAGTGTATTCACATCTGAAAATAGCAAATGTGTGGTAGAGACTATATTTTTCTCTCAGATACTGAATATTCAGGGAYGAAGTCTGTTCTCCTCCGGCCACCCTCAGAGCTGGTTTTGCAAAACTGAATTTTAGGTCTTTTATATGCTGGAGAAGATCCAAAGAATATATTGGTAGATGTTTTAAATCTAAAACTAAGCAAAATGCCTTTCTACATGCCAAGGTATTGCCCTAGATATGACTGTACCTACATTATGCCAAGAGTGGTGTAAACCAATTAACTTCAGAATAGTAATTCTGAATTTATTCTACACGGAATGAAGCAAGCCATGCATTTTATGTTTTTCGGGATACCCATATCAGGATATTTTACTCCATCTGGTATGTATACAGTATGAAAAAAAAAAGGTATGTTCATTCTCCATTCCTGCTTCACTGCATAAAGTCTTGACCATGCTTGCACAGTAAATCCAAAGCAGAGTAACACAGGCTAAAGCTGGGAGTGCAGAGTGTGCTCAGTCTGAACCAGGGTGTTCTTCCTAATAACTCTTTAKGGTGGTTGCACAAATAGCAGTGATGGGCTATAACGTTTATTTTAACTTWTTTTTTTTCAAAGCTTAGAACCCTCACATTTTGCTCTTTTCTTGGTTGAAAACCACTGAATCATATTTTGTGTAAAATAAAGAGGAAGAGAKCCAGGGTCAGTTGATATACTTTTCTTCTTACTTGGCTGCATGGAATGCTGTTGACAGAAGGGGGCAATGAGCCTTCCAACTTGCTGCTGTGACATTTCTGTATCTGGGACTGATACAAAATACTGGACAGCAAAGTTATACTGTTAAGAGTGACACTCCAAGAGGATTTGGCTCCTCCTGCTTTTTCCTTACTGAACCTTTGATATTACTGCTTATTCCTACGTACAATCCTTTTGCCTGGGCTCATCCAACAGTTTTTTTCATGATCAAAAGCACTCTAATAAGGAAAAAGCTGTAGTAAAAGCTTTGCATTCCTGCATTTCCATGGTAAAGCAATCACAGATCACCCTTTGCAGCTACTGGTCACACTCTCRGATTTGAAAATATTCTTGTAGTTTTATAAACCCTATGTTAAGCCAAACATATCAGTCTGTTACAGGAACTAYAGAGATATATTAGGAACAAGCTGCAGCCTGTAAGCACATCAGTGATCCCATATCCATTTTAGGTGTATGCAGGACAGCTGGGCATTCATTTACAATGAAACTAAGTGTACTGGTATAATTTTCTGTTTCATCCAGGCATCTACCTTACATATAAAATAATATTTTAGAGGTTTTTTACCAAACCCCTAAAAATACCTAAATTAGAGGAATATGAAAGTATGTTCAAAGAAAAGAAACATTACGTGCACACACTAAGAACAGCTCAACAGTCATCTCTCAGTAAAGATTTTTGAGATGTGGAGAGGCTCCTATAGCTTCCTTCAAAAACAGTAAAGCTTTGCTTCTCCTTATGTTTGGTATGTGATGAGAAAATTCCTCCCAGTTCAGAGCTACACATTATTTTAGTTTGATTCTATATAGGGGCATGTCTGAACATCCAGCTTGCTGCTCACAGAGGTCACACAGTAAGAAGCCAGTAACCCAAACCACCTGGCACAGACTTTGGGACAGGTATTTATTGCCCTTGACCTACAATGTGAAAAATAACTTACACTGGAATGAAAAAGATGCACATGTTACAAACTATGACTCACTGTTCATATTTATTAATACTCCCCAGAGCTTTCAGCACATCACGTTCCACACTCCTAACAGGCTATCTTATTTTTCACCTCGGGCCAAAATGATAAATCTCTAATGTAAAATCTATCAGAGAATCAGATGCTTTGTTATTCTTCACAGATCAAGGAAATAATTTCAATAATCTTGATAGGTTTTTCAAAAGGGTTTGGCTAAACCTGTAACAGCAATTCACACAATTATGCCAAAATCATTTGGYGAAAAGGATGGAACTGAAACATACCTTAAGATCACTCCCTTGATCTTGAACTTTCTCACAACTTTTACCCTACAGCTAAGTGCATGTTTGTGAATGCACAGTGAATTCAGTTTTGGAGCACCACAGTATCACAATCATATTGTCTTATATGCTAAGAATGTTCATAACAAAGGCCACAGCTGATTTTGCAGCGCTCACAGTGCTTTCCTTGTGCGTTCTTTTCACACAGATCCACTGTGAGATTGAGATTATCATGAATGGCACCAAGTCCCAAGGCAGTTACAGGTTTCATGTTTTTCTCCACAGAGCAGGAGGCAAGATGCTTCTTACTTCATGGATAACAGTCAAGTGGGAGCAGGAATGACAGCACTGTTGAACTCTGATTTTTCTCTGCATGCCAACAGAGATGTRGAGTTCTCTAAATCTCAGAGAAGTTAGCTGAGAAGACACGTTGATTTAGTGCTTCTGAGCTCYTTCATCTTTTCAGAATGTTCCTGGGCTGCAGGATAAAGGTGTTTTTATTTTCTTGCTTGTTCATCRGTGTTACAGATGGTAAAGGCAGATAGACAGCAATTCCCTAAAATTTCAAACTGAATTAGAAAGGCTCACATTGACTTTGGTGAGTGATGGATGCAGGTGTGTTGTAATTCTGATAACAAAAAGTAATAATGCTGASCCATCCAAAATTCAGCTCAATCACCCTCACTCCTGCAAGTGTTAAGGAGGGTTATGAACATAGTAGGGAAAATGATAGCAATATATACTCCCAGGAAACTCTGCATGTTGAAATAAGACAAGAACTGGTATTCTTCAGGAAACTGCAAATTAAGAGAGAAGTGTTCTGAGGTTTGTTTTGCTGATCTTGCTTACTAACTGAAATGATTTTGTTTCAAACAGTATTTGCTTTACTTCATTATCCAGCATGAGAAAGGAGGATAGAATTTTTTCAGATAAGTTAATTAGGACTATTAATGCCAAGTGCTCAAGAGCGTTGCATTGAATCATCTGAAAGTGCTTGAATCATCTGGAACAGGTGTAGATGCTCTTTTAATAGGATAAAATATCCCTACGTTGCTTCAACTTAAAATCTCTCAGTTTTACTTCTGCAAAGAGCTTCTGCAAAGGGATATAAAGTACTYAAGGATATGTATTTGCTATCAGACCTTGAGTGGATTGTCAGAATTTTCTGGATTCCCTTATATGRCAAAGTCCCTAGTGTAGAAAATACACTCTTCCCCATATTCAGAAAAAGACATTTATCTTCATAAAAAAAAAACAAAACCAAACCCAAAACACAAATGAACAAACTAAAAAAAAACAGATTTGTCAATTTATATATGAAGGAAGAAAAATTAGGAAAACCTGATTCTCACTGCTTTTTCTCACGTACTGTAGTCCAAGTTCCTCCCTTCACAAACCTACTGATAAAACTGCTGCTCTGCAATACAGTAATATGGAAAACCTTGACAGCATGGGATCAAATTATGTGGGCAGTATCTGGAGAACATTCCCTGTTACAGCAAAGTAACATTAAAGCTAGCAGATGCAAGACAGTCTTCAAAGCAGAGGATTCAAAATATTGCAGTTCTGACTCATTTTGCACAGGAAAGCCAATATAGTAGGGCAGGAATTACAGYAGGACACTCCAGGGGCCAAGTATGTCAGATTTGCTGGTCCAAGACATTTCTCTTTAGTGAAGTACCAAAGATCAGATGTGGTTTACWGCAGCTGCCCTGGAGTCTGGCAGCAATACTTGGTTCTCTGAGACTCCATGCATTAGTCAGAACTCCTGAGTGCCACAACCCTGAGATGATCACAGTTCCTTCATCCTACTGTTCCCSCTCAAGCTCTGCTGACTATTGCCAAACAATGCTGCATTTCAGATACCAAAGACCAGGAGTTGCTCTTTAATGGCAGTGTGGCTATGTTTTGGGGSCTACTGCAAAATGTAATGATTGATCCAGACCTTAATCCTGATTGCCAGACAAATGCACGACAGGGTAAGTACCATTACATTCACTGATCAGCAAATTCATTACTTACTGAAATAATCAAAGAYGTTATTACCATGTTACCTACCCTCTAGGAAGTCCACCTTCCGAAGCCCTTCGGTTGAGACTCAATTTATGCATCTCAGCCATTTCCCTCAGGGTCTCTGCCGAGTAAAGGCCAATGGGGTTGTTATACTGCCTCGCAGGGCTCAGCTGCTGTGCAGGGCTACTGCCACCCGCCAAAGCAGGGCTGGCTTTGGAACCTAGAGTGCTCTTGGCAGGTGAAATGTCAGGAGTCACAGACTGAGAGGACATGGAAGATCTAACTGTGGTAGTCTTTAGGTAGGAAGAGCTATTTGAAAAGCTGATCTCTTGCTGGTTGAGGTAGCCTGAAAAGGTTCCATTGGTTGCTAAACCACTACCCATAGGCCCAGTCGCCGTGTTAGTTAGAGGGCTGAAGGTTGCTCTGTTGCCATTCATTTCCCAAGCAGGTTCCTGTAGTAGCAAACATGCAGGCCAAGAAAAGAAAAACAAAAAGAAAAGAGCAATCATAGAACACATGCAAAAATAACATATCTGCAATTAATGCTTTAAACATAGTCATAAACTAGCAGTAAATAGTTTGGGGCCAAAGCATTCAAACTTTCAGGGAAGATTTTCAACAAAGAAATGCATTGTTTCAAAATAAGGGAAG